CGTGATATTTGGAACTAGGTGTACCTGATGGAGACCTATGTCTATGCAGCATGGAGTCTCTTCTGCTTGGCCCATGAGACTGGAATAAGAACTAGAAATGCAAGGTGATTCCCAAAGGATAGAAAAAAACAGCAGGAGAGGAGTGTGCAGAGGTTGGTTTTTTTCCTTGCTATATAGCATACTTTGTATGCGTAAATATTCTTAATGACATGGCCAGAGTGCCCATTCAGCCCCCTTTTGCGTGGGAGTGGACCCACTCAATAAACCTTAGGGCACTGGTATCTAGCGGGCTGGGCCTTGTAACCCAGCAAGCTTCACTCTCTGCATCTATCCCCCTTATTTTTCTGAGACTAAACCCTTCTCCTGTTCTCCCTTGTCCCACTTTCACCTAGAATTCCTAAAATAATCTGGTTGTGAATCCGATGCACCAATTGACTCCCCATATTTTCAAATCCTGCTACTAGTCCACTCCCCCAGTTCCCACCTACCCTTGGCTCTCAAATGTCTGACCTGGAGCTCGACTGGATCAGCCACACGCCTTGATCTCTGCACTTATTTCCCATGTTCTTTCGTGCTTCCCCAATAATTTTTCCTCTCTCGAGGCTCATACCCCTTCTACTCCCAGTGGGCTTCATGCTAGTGCCTCTGGACAGCATGATGTTATCTTATCCTGAAAGCCCTGACATGCATGGTACCCTCAACAATAGTGGCAAAGGGCCTTGTATGATGGCATAATCTAGCCATGGTTAATGTAAGGTTAAGGCTAAGATGGTAGGCCCTATCCTGGGGACAGAGTCACTCCTAGTAGATCGAAGGCAGGGACTCACCTGAAGGGTGAGGAAGCTGACAACATGAAATCACCCATGTCAAGTGCTGGTCAAGAGATGTGAAGTAACAGACCCAGGCGAAAACCCTGCAAGTCGTGCCAGTCTTCTCATCACTAGACTATGCAACCAGGGAAACCAAGGTAACAACTGGCCATCCTTGAACCACTGGTATACAAAATGCTCACACCAGCTCTTCCTTGCCTGGGAGTGATACAATTTGTTTCTCCTCCCCAGGTGTATTTCTTCTTGTGAACTTCATTTTTGGTTTCTGATCACTTGGCTTCTCTAATCCACTAATTTGTAAGTATGCTGCTGCCCAGGTGCTGTTTGCTTTTCAATCTAAAGTCATCTGTAAATATGTTAAATTCAGATTTTTTCCCCTCCCTCATCCCTCCCCTCCACCCCTCAATAGGAAAAGGAGTTGTCACAAAGGTACCTTTTCCTGGGTACCCGGTCTGCCCAGGGGGAATTATCTTCACACACAGTCTGCCCCCTCCCGCCCCCCAACACACACATCCACCTTCTACACACTGTCAACAGTTCTCCTTTTCACCTGTTAGCTGATGTAGTTATTCAGAGTAGAGATAATATTTAAAATTATCCAGTCCAATCTCCTAACAAACCAGGAAAATAGTTTATTCAAGGTCTCTGAATTAAGTGGCAGGAACAAAACTGAATTCGGGTCTCCTAAATCCGTGGGCTGGAGGGCTATGGGTGAAGGAAGGGGACATAGTAGTTCTTGTTATTCATTCAACGACTGTATTTAGCATTCACTCACTGCGTGCCAGGCACTATTTTAGGTGCTGGGGATTCCGTGACGGCGATAGAGGGTCCGGAAGAGACCAAATTAACTGAGCTTTCATTCTCAAAACTCAAGTACTTTGTCTCACCACCCAGGAAAAATCCCCAGTGCCCTGGGTAGGAGTGTTCAGGTCTCATACGGGAGGGAATCCCATCCTTTCTCTGTTCCTGTGCTATCTACAGCGAGAGGGCTGATTCACTGCAGAAACCCCAGAGGCGGAAACCTCCAGGGTGCCCTCCTCAGGGTGCCCTCCCCGCTTCTGCACCTCCAAGGCTGGGCGGGGCCGGCTCCAGCGCTCCCCTGAGCTCCAGCTCCAATCTGGATTTATTCGTGTCCCCTTTTCTGCCCTCTCTGCTTTCCTGCCAACGGCTGGAGGACAGAGAAGCAAGGCTGGGCTCTAGCGTCATCCTCTGAGAAAGGATTTCGAGCAAGTTAAACGCCTACCAAGGCAGTCGCGCTCAGTATCTAGCGCCCCAACGCGGGGAAGGACCCCCTCTGCGGACCCGGGTGGATGCAGTGCACGGCTCTCCTGCTTTCCTAATAAATACTGCAGCCACGCGCTCTTTCCAGCCTCAGCGGAGGCCACTGCGGCGCCCGCTCCCCTCCCGCCCCACCCGCTCGCTCAGACACCAGAGCCCACTGCAGCTTCCCAGCCACGCGCCCCTTTCTCCCCCACTTCCTGCTTGCCTTGGAGACACACGTCATTGACGTGCCATGCGTCGCCTTG